CCATTGTCTCACCATATCCCATTGTTTTGCCAATCCAGTCGATAGTTCTGGTTCTCCTCTGAATAGTTTTTTGAAGTAACCATGAGCCATCTGTTGAACTTCATTCACCCAGTGCTGCCAATTCTCGTCGGGTGCAATCAACGCTTCATACTGTTTCCATCGCAAAATATACTGGGAGCAGTAATCCTCAGTTTCTTTAAGAAATCTTTCCCACCAGAGCCCATCTTCCACACCCCGAACAAAGGTATCATGGTTCCACTGACTACGGGGAGTACGTCCTCCCCAAGAACCATCACGAATATATCTAGTGCACACTTGAAGTTGTCGTCCTCGCTTGTTCAAAAAGCATGAGTCCATTGAGATTGTCATACATGCTCGCTGACTGCCAAGATAATTAATGCGAGACCTCAACGCTCGCCCTTGAAAGGTGTCTTGGCCGCCTATAAAGGTGTTAGCACGACGCATGTTGAGCTTCTCCATAAAATCTCTCATCTGCTTCATACAGTGATGCTCCTGCTGCAGAACATGCGATACGCCCAACTGCGTCAACCTCCAACTTGTGATAATTTGGACTCGAATGGCTGCCTCGCGTCTCCCATGAGAAATGCCTCCCTGCATACCGTCCGAGCACTTCTTTTCAGTAGATGCTGCCTTGCCACGTCGGTTGATGTGTTGCATCATGGCCTTGCTAAAAGGACAGTTTCGATGAATAAGTCGAACAGCTTTGAATCCCGTCTTCGACGCCTCAAACTCCCCCTGCTGATCCTTGTGCTTCAGGTCGCTCGCGGTTGGATTTAGCAACTTGCGAAAACCTTCATCCGGCCGGAACCAGGGCGAAGCGCTTTTCCGATACGAAAGCCTTTTTTTATCGTTACACGAATACCTCGAAGATCGCAATCGGCCTCATCCTTGGACGCGGGTGCAGGCACTCCCCCATAGCCATTTATATCCCCACCACAGACAATCGAACACCACTCGGGTTGAAGCCTACCAGCTTGTTCCATCCATACTAGCATCTGCATCCCCATCTTCTTATCCGTGAGCATTTTCTTGGCCGCCTGCAGTCGAACTGGGAGATATGCAGCAAACCACAGCAGATGAATGCGGCCTGATCTTGTTTCCATCGCTCCTAATCGTCCTTGTAGGCCTGCGGGCGTTACGTGATTCTGTGCAATATGGCAGAGACGAAAGAGCCATCGTCGTAGTCGAGGCCCCCTTCCATATCCCCAGTCCAAGATGTGCGCGCGCGCGTCGAAGATGCTCATACACTGCCCATCTTTGCGACACCGTCGTAGCCAAATGCTCGTACTAATGACAAAATCTTGAGTCTGAACTGCTGTAGAGATTTCCACTTCTCTGCCACTCTGCACGGGGGACGTGTCATTGTACACAATAACGAAGAGCAGCGCGCCACCCACGCCGACATCGCTCGGAGCCTCGAAGGCGAGGAGGGCAGAGTGATCGAGTTGCACGTGCAATCGGAAGTGAACCTGCAGAGCCTCTAGGCTGTGATGATCTTGACCGCAAGCAGGGTAGCGCAGATACTCTGGTTCAATGATTTCATAATTATAATGCCCTATATCAGCTTGACGACACTGAATACGCAAAAGACGAGCAAAGGGTCTGTCCCATAATACACTTATACACCAGGGGCGTTGGTTGGCAACCGTCAATACATTGCTCAAAGCAGGTGTAGCCAATACTCCATACTGTTTCCATCGCAAGAAAGACTGGCTGCAGCAATCCTCCTGAATACGGGGCGTAAGTCCACTCCCAAAAACAAACAGTAATATATCTGGCGCACACCTGGGGTTGTCGACCTCGCTTGTTCGAAATACACAAATCCATTAAAGCTGTCAAACATGCCTGCGGACCGCCAAGATAATCAATGCAGGGACTCCAAGCTCGCCCAAGAAAGGTGTCCTGGCCGCCTCTGTAGATGTTAGCACGCCATACGATCCTGAAATTCAAATCCACAACGAGGCCCATCTTCATATACTCAACCTGGTGCTGGTGGCCCTTCAGGGAGTCCCTCGGGTCACGACACATGTTGTATTTCTCCATAATATCTCTCATCAGCGTCATACAATGTTGCTCCTGTACAGCATTGGATGCAGGAACTTCCGCATAGTCATAAATGTCTCCTCCCCCGACAATCGAACACTAATTAAGCTGCATCACCATCCTCTTGAACGTGAGCATTTGCTTTGCCACCTTCGGTCGAACTGGGAAAAAAAACAACAAACAGCAGCAAATCAAAGCGGCCTGATCGTATTTCCAGCACTCCTATTCGTCCTTGTAAGCTCGCGGGCGGTGGTTGAATCTGTGCGAAATGGCATAGACGAAAGAGCCGTTGTCGAAGTCGAGACCCCCTTCCATATTCCCAATTCAGAATGTGCGCATACATGTCACACTGCCCATCCGTGTGACGCTGTCGTAACCAAGTGCCCAAAGGAGGGACAAAATCTTTAGTCTGATATGCTTCATAGATTTCCTCTGCTCTACCACTCTGCATAAGGGACGTGACGTTGAACACAGTGAAGAAGAGAGGTGCATGCATGGCGGCGGGCAGCGCGCCGCGACGGGGAGTGCCTAGATGGAAGGCATGGTAGGCGCTGGGTAGGAGAAGACACACATCCCTGAGGCCGCGCAGGGTGTGTGAAGGGACCTGTGCCAGGGCGGCTAGGAGGAGGAGGAGGAGGAGGAGGAGGAGGAGGAATCTCCTCATCGTTGTCGCCCCCCTCCTCTCCCTTTCCCCGCCTTCCCAAATTTCTCCCGGTCCTTCCACTCCAGTTCCTGCTGCTGCTTTTCGCCCTCGTCCTCCTTCTCTTTCTTCTTATTCTTCTTCTTCTTATTATTATTATCCCTCTTCTTCTTATCATTATTCTTCCTCCTCCTCTTCTCTTTCCTCCTGCTCATCCTCCTGTTCATCCGCCACCCCTCCTCCAATGTGCACAGCTCCCCTGATCAAATTGCGCACAGCGCCATGCACTTCTTTTCGGAGGTTCCAGGTCCACTACGGCATCGGCACCTGTCGGCGGATGCAGCAAATTACCAGCGCAATGGGACGTGATGGGTGGATGAAGGAGGAACGAGGGAGGAGGAGGGAGGAGGAAAGAGGAAGGAGGAGGAGGAGGAAGGGAGGATGAAGAAGGAAGGAGGATGGGAGAAGTGGGACCTCAGATGTGGCGCGAGTGACCCTTGCTGGGTGGCGATGACGATGGCGGCAGAAGCATCGCGACCAGGCTCCTCCTCCTCCTCCTCCTCCTCCTCCTCCTCCTCCCCCGCCCTCATCAGATGAGAAGTTCTCCAAGGTCTGACGCCTCCTGGGCACATTCCTTGACCAACGCCACCCCCCGCATTGGGCTCATGTTGGGGCAATCCGATGCCATCTTGCGACCATCGTGGGGTACTTTGCGAGCCTGTTTAGACGCCCAGTGGCTTCTACAGAGACCTCTTGTAGCGAACTTCAGCAGAAGTGCTGGGGACCCAGCAACTGGCTGCCGCACGAAAGAACTGAGGATCCCAGTGGATGGGGACACGTTTGGCGTTGGCAAGATAGCCTGCAACACCGATCTCCGAAGAGCACTCTATCCCTGTGAGGCGACCCCCCCCGCGAGTGCCCCTTCCGTGCTCGCTGTCCCCCTGCCAGTGCTTCTTCGCTGCACGCTATCCCCAAGGGGGGGGGGGGGGGAACAGCGTGCAGCAAGCGGGCCAGCGGCGCCACCCTCGCAGGCTATCTTCAGAACGCCAACCCTTTTTTTGTTGAGGGAGAAGACGGGAGCAGACAACATGCTTAGGGGAATAAACAATGACATAAACGTAAAAACTCGGAGGTTCGCGCGGATTTCTCTGATCGGCGCTGGGGCCCCCTGGCGGCGCCTGCGGCGCCGCCCCTGGCGCGCTCCGCGCGACAGGGAGGGGGGTCCAGCGCCGATCCGAGCAATCCGCGCGGACCTCCGAGTTTTTACGCTTATGTCTTTGTTTGTTCCCCTAATGCTTCCACAGCTGGTGCCAAAGCGTGGACGACGCCACACGCACGCCGAAGGCTGTGCTAGAAGGCATCGGGATGAGGCTGGCGAGGTACGGCACGAGCGGTAGGTTAGGCGATGCTGATGCTGGGGCGTCGTGGACGATCTTGGGCGCAATGCTCGTGGCGAGTGCCGCAACCCGCCCCTGGGAAGAAACAAGTGGCGGCGCGCACAGGGGGGTAGGGGGAGTGGGGAAGACTGCTTAGGAGGCTGCTTCTCAGACGGCGCCGGCCTTACATCTATAGATAAGGCCCGCGCCTTCTAAGAAGCAGGGGTGCCTCTAAGAAGCCTTCCCCCCTCCCCCTACTTCCCTGTGCGCGTGACCGAAAAATGCTTAAGCAGCGTGACCGCGGGCGCGGGTGCAGCTCTGATCTGGCCCGGCGCGCGGCGGCAGCAGCAGCAGCAGCAGAAAAGCGGTAGTGCTATTTGGCGCTGCTTTACTCTGATGAGCTCGGGTCGTACAGCAGAGGCCCATGCCAAGAAACATCCTGCTTGCCTCCAGGGTGCCCTGGCCTGGGTTTCTTGGGTGTCGATGGTTTTTCTATGGAAGGCGTGACGTTCCCGGACACCAGAAATCAATGGACGTCCTGGGGTTTAAGGGTTGGGTTTCTTGTGAAAGGTTTCTTGTGGTCGAGCCCCTACTGTAGACCTCGGGGAGGTCTCGTCCCATCGCGCCCACTTGGGAAGCACAGCCATTCCAGTGATAGCAATGTTCGTCGGCGGGCCTGGGCCCATTTCAAGTGCTGGGGCGGCTGGCGGAAGCACATGCTGCTCTTGCCCCAGGGCCGCGCGCCTGATGGCGCGCACCAACAAACAATGCTGACATTCCTGTCGAGTGGTCGTGGGCCCGTTCCCAATACTGGGGCGGCTGGCGGAAGATGGAGTCATTTCTACATCGCCTGCGCAAGCAGAAAGACAGACGGCGCACAATGCCTTCCCTGTGAAACTCAGCTGCACATGCAGAGCAGTGAACAATTCACAGAAACGTGATCACCAGGCAGGCAAGAGGCAAAAACCATTCAATCTCTCTCGGAACACCTACATTTCTAGCATGTCCGACTTTTCGGCCTTCACGACGTCCAAGACGCGCCAAAGAGTTCCCCAGACGTTCCCGGATACCCCCGAACACCGCCCCAAGACGCCCCAAGAGAGTCCGGAAACCGCCCAACCGGCGCCCAAGACGGACCAAGAAAGCCCCAAGACTGCGCCAAGAGAAGCCCCAGAGGGGAAGCCCGAACCGATAATTCCTGCCGTCCGCCCCAAGATCCCCCTCGAGGTCCTAAGAGGCCCCCCGAGGCCCCCAAGACGCCCCAAGAGGCACCAAACCGGCGCCCAATGGGCTTCAAAACTGCTTCTAGAAAACCGCCGACAGCCCTCCTACAACATCCCCACGAACATTTCAGAGGCTTCATATCACCCACAAACCAGGCACGGTGGCGGAATGGACCGAAGGTCATTCGACCTGCTTAGCACGGGGACGGAAAGCGCATTTGCTTTCAGAGCGCAAGGAGTCGCTGGCCTATTCGTTCTTCATCAAACTCTTTCCCATGTTCCCATCGCTCTTATCTTATCACATCATGTTTTCCATTATCCCTGTTCTCCATACAAAAACCGAGCAACAAACTCTGGAACAAATAACTGAACCTGGTATGTCCAGGCCTTCCTGGGAGTCCTTGGAACCGGACCTCTTCCGCCGAGGTCCTGTTCCGCCGGTTCTGTTCCGCCCGGTCCTGTTCCGCCGAGGTCCTGTTCCGCCGAGGTCCTATTCCGCCCAGTCCTGTTCCGCCCGGTCCTATTCTGCCCGGTCCTGTTCCGCCGTCGCGCGCTCTCGAGCGGGGGCGCTCTCGCCGCCCGACGCGGCGGAACCGGGCTTCGGCGGAACCGGCCCTCGGCAGAACCGGTCCTCGGCGGAACAGATCCTCGGCGGAACCAGTCCTCGGCGGAACCGGTCTTCGGCGGAACCAGCCTTCGGCGGATCGGTCTTCGGCAGAACCGGTCCTAGGGTGTTAAAACACCCGAACACCATATAGGGTGTTCGGGTGTTCGGGTATTAGGGAGTTACGGTGTTAGGGTGTTAGGGTGTCAGGGTGTTATGGTGTTACGGTATTGATGTATTCGGGTGTTAGGGTGTTAGGGCTTTAGGGTGTTAGGGGGTTAGGGGGTTAGGGGGTTCGGGCATTAGGGTGTTAGGGTGTTAGGGTTCTAGGGTGTTAGGGTACTAGAGCGTTAGGGTCTTAGGGTTAGGTGTGTGGGCGTTAGGGCGTTAGGGTGTTAGGGTGTTAGGGCGTCATGGGTTTAGGGTGTTAGGGAATGAGGGGTTTAGGGTGTTAGGGTGTTAGGGTTTCACGGTGTTGCGGTTTTGCGGTGTTTCCGTGGTAGGGTGTCAGGATGTTAGGGTTGCAGGGTGTTACGGTGTTACGGTGTTACGGTGTTTAGGGTGTTTCGGCGTTACGTCTTTAGGGTGTTAGGATGTTAAGGTGTTGAGGTGTTCGGGTGTCAGTCGTCGTCGTCGTCGTCGTCGTCGTCGTCGTCGTCGTCGTCGTCGTTGCCCGACCCGCCGTCAGCCCGTCACGGTGACACGCGTGCTACCTCGATTATGCGTCATACTTTAATGTCCCGCCCGCCCGACCGACCCGCCGCCCGCCCGCCCGTTAGGGTCCCGCCCGCCGCCCGTTGAAGCCCGCCCTTTAAAGCCCGCCCGACCCGCCGCCCGCTCGTTCGAGTGACACGCGTGCTACCTCGATTATTTAATGTCCCGCCCGCCCGACCCGCGGCCCGCCCGCCTGTTAGGGTCCCGCCCGCCGCCCGACCCGCCCGCCCGCTAGGGTCCGCCCGCCCGACCCGCCGCCCGCCCGTCAGGGTGACACGCGTGCTACCTCGATTCTGCGTAATACTTTAATGTCCCGCCCGCGCGACCAACCCGCCGCCCGCCCGC